TGCATTTTTACCTAAGGCAAAATGATCACACCATAAATTGCAGCGTTTGACCTGACATCCCAGCACGGCTCCATCTGTGACTGCTCAGAGAGGTGCTGGGAGCTTCCGGGCTCTCACTGGGCAGGGCTGTCCTCTCAAGACGACCAGGCTGGCAGCACAGGGACTGAGCGCAGTCACCGGTCCTATTGGGAGCAAGTCCGCATGTTCCTTCTTAAAACATGTTCAGCTTGTGAAAACCATGAATATGTTTAAATAGGTTTCCAACAAGTTTTAAATGCATTTCATATTCGGTATGAATGTGACAGATGGATATATAGATGATGGTGTTAAATTTAGAGATTTATTGAGCTTAATGGGTCACACAATTCCAGAAGACAATGTGGTGACCATTGGGTTGTGCGGACTTAAGATATGACTCATGAATTTTGAAATATGATATTGCTGATTGTGAAAAAAAGACAAGATAAATTCAAACTGCATCAAAACGAGGCACCAAATAATTTCTTGATGCTGCAATAGCATACCGTCATTGTTGGGATATTATATATGTTATTGGACAAGTCCTAACTAGTCATGTAGTTATATGTACCTGCTCTTGGAAATATTTTTAAAGTAAAGAAATGTACAAGGCACAGATCTGTGAGCTCCTTATGACAGCTGTCGCTAGTTTTCTCTGACTCACCATCATCATTATGAGCCCGACCTCCTCCATCAGCACCTACATCAAGTTCACCATCACCACTATCATCACTGCTACCACAACCTTCACCGCCACCGTCTTACTGCATCACAATATCTTTCAAATTAGCTTCTCTGCCTCTCTTATCTTTCCTAATTTTTCTCTTGGGGCAAATGTGTGTGTGTTTACTTTGGATGTTTAAAAGCTAAACTTTTAATTAATCTTTAATGAATCCCATTCCTCTTGAATAAAGTTCAGTGTCCTAGACTTGACAAGCAAGATCATTCATAAAAACGTATCCAGAACAACCTCCAAGGTAGATTTCTCAGTGATGCCTCGAGAAGGTTCTCAGTCCCAATCAACGTAGACTGTTCACTGTTCCTTCCATATGGTTTAGCCTTGACTTTCTAAAAAAATGCAGGGCAAAAACGACTGAGAATCATGTGGAACATTTGTTTAAACATCTACTTGCACCTCAACCTTGGGTGCCAAGCCTTGAGGGTAACATGCTGGTATGAAGCAGTGACCTAACAGAGAGGAAGGCAGGGCCAGGCCCTCTCCCAGCTACATCGAGCCCCTTCCCCAGAAGAATTCACTATAGAGGACAGCACTGAAGATACAGCCCAGGAGTGTGGCAAGTCTGCGCAGACCACATGGGAGCAAAGTAAGAGGGAGGGGGAGGGAGAGAGAGAGAGAGAGTGAGAGAGAGAAAAGAGAGAAAAGAGAGAGAAGAGAGAGAGGAAAGAGAGGAGAGAGAAAGAGAACAGCATCCTGGCCCACCAAGCTCTGAGGATGACATTACCAGTCAGAGCAGCCAATGCACAGAGAAGACCGTAGGACTGCCTTCACCACCAGACACGACATACCCTAATTCACCCACAGTGCTATGGGGGATAGCACCAGAGACACAGTGCGGGAATTGTGCCCTGTCTGATCCCCCAGGGCGTAATAAGAAGGGAGCACAACGGAGCAGGCAGGGGAGCAAAGCAACAAAGTCCTCGAGGAATTCTGAAAATAGGCTTTGGACTTGGGGTTGTGGGGGTTGGGGCAGGGCTTGGCACTGCATCAGACCCGGTCAGAAAACATTCATAAGGGTCAGCAGACAGACCATGAACTATAGGGTATTTTTCATGTCTATCTCTCTAAGATAGGCAGGATAAACAATGCCAAGGAGAAAACAACAGGAAGGATGGTTCTGCGGGGGCAGGGGAGAGGAGGGGGTGAATGGAAGGGAGGGGGAAGCCTACAAACCCAGGGACAAGGGGACAAGGTGGGCATAGAATGCTTGGTGGGGTTCTATCAAGTGCAATGTAGCCAAGAGGAAGTACAGAGAGCCGAATGAAGGTCAAACATGATAGTGGGACAGGAAGAAAGTAAAAGGAAATAGAGGAAAGAACTAGGAGGCAAAAGACATTTATAAACATAAGCATGTACATATGTAAATATATTAATATATAATGATAGGGATATAGGTCTAAGTACACATATTTATAGATTGTGGTAACTATTAAGGTATCAGATGGCTATTGGGCCTCTACTCAAGTCCTGCCTCAACACAAGAACACTTTGTTCTAATAAACTGGCATTTGTGACACTCACCTTCCCAACATGATCGCTGAAGACAAAATGGGTGCATAAGCTAATGTGGTGAAGAAAGCTGATAGTGCCCAGATATTACTACATATAGTGTCTGGGGCTTGAAAGGCTTGAAGTTAAACAAGCAGCCATCTAGCAGGGAAGCAACGAGGCCCACATGGCAGAAATACACCAGCCTGTGTGATCACAAAGTGTGGATGGGATCAGGTGTCAGGCATCAGAAGATCCAAAACAAACAACCTTTTTGATGCAAATGAGGGGGTTGGAGTGGAGCTCCAAAGCCCATCTGTAGACAATTGGACATTCCCTCACAGAAGGGTTACAAGGAAGGGATGAGCCAGCCAGGGTACAGTATAACACCAATGAAACACACATTCTTCTAGTTCTTTAATGCTTCCTTCCCCCTACCCCCATCATGACCCCAGTTCTATCTTATGAATCTGGCTAGACCAGAGCTTGTACACTGCTACAAGAGCTGTTGACCTACAGAATCCAGGACAGATAAACCCCTCAAGACCAATATTGAGAGTAGTGATACCATGAGGGTAGGGGGAAGGTGAGGGGAGAAGGGGGAGAAAGGGGGAGCCGATTGCAATGATCTATGTACAACACCCCCACCTCCCATCCAAGGAGGATGAACAACAGAAATGTGGGTGAAGGGAGACAGTGGATTGTGTAAAATATGAAAATAAAAATAATTTATCAAGGTTCATGAGGGTGGGAAGGTGTGGGAGAGGGGGTAGAAAAAGAAAAGCTGATACCAAGGGCTCAATAGAAAGAAAATGTTTTGGAAATGATGATGGCAACATATGTACAAATGTGCTTGATATAATTGATGCATGGGTTGCTGAGAGCTGTAAGAGCCCCCAATAAAATGATTTATTAAAAAAAATCTACTTGTGGATCCCATTCCTCGATGGTCTTCCTTTAGCATCCTTTGTACTTGATGCCTTTTTTGGGTTTAGCTTTGGTACCTTGTCAACTACTCACGACCACAGCAAAGGGCCTATTCAACATCTAGCAATTTACATCTCTCTCAGGATGTTTATAAGGATTAATGTTAGAAAATATGGTGTCTGACCTAGTGCCTAACAAATGATGGCTACTGATTCTTTTTATGGTGAATCAAATACAGTGACAGCACCTCCGTGCTTTACTTATACCCTCCTGCAGGCTACAAGCTTTGAGAAGGTATGAGATATTACTCATCATTGAATAACTTGAAATCAGGTATACTGTTTTGCTCAATGAAAGCCAGCTGAGTTAATGGAAAGCTGCTTCATTTAAAAAAAATTAAATCTAAAAACCCTAAGCATTTTTATTCTTCCCCTGCCCCCATATGCTGCCACATTTAGATATTTTTGCAGCGAAGGTAAGTACACACATATAAAAATCTTCTGTCAAATGTACTCACACACACACATGCTCCTACTTTCCTGCCCACACTTGTTCAACCTTTCTAGCTATACAAGTACCTACTTACTCATTGATCACCACGATTGTAGGATTGTGTAAATAGCAGTATTGGTCCCTGTTCCCTTTAATTCTTGCAAACCTCCCAATGTCCTGTCTTGCCCTGTCATTTTTGACAACCTCCCTCTTATTTTAGACTGCCTTCCCTTCACTTGAATTAGTATTTGTCTACCCATCATTTTAGGGAGCCCTGGTAGCACAGTGTTAAGTACCCAGCTGTTCATGGAAAGGTCAGTGTGCAGGAGACAGCCGCAGCAGTTTGTTTCTGTAAAGACCACAGCGTTAGAAACCCTATGCGGCAGTCCACTCGGTCCTTCAGGCTCACTGCGAGTTGGAATTAACTCTCTGACAACAGATTGATCATCATTTCAAAAACCACCATTCTTTTCCTCCTCTCAAAGGAATACTCAGAGGTACCGTTTTGCACCTCTGGAGGCCCCTGAAACCTGCAAGGTCAGGTTCTTGAAGGGTCTCCATTCCCACCTCCCCTGGGTTTAGGCAGCCCGACTGTTTTGCACATGATGGAAGACCTCGGAACCTGGAGGGTCTCTAGCTGAATATTTTGGACGCAGCATTAAGTCATCCGTAGAGATTTTTCAACCTCAGTCCTGTGTCCCAGTTCTTGTAGGTAACAGGGTTTTGCCCTGCTACCAAGATGAGATGTAGTCCTCAAATTGTCATCCGGTGAAGGCGAGTAGATAATATTTTGTTTCTTGGGACCCGGTTCCTGTCTTGATGATCGGCTAATACTCTGGTACTTTTATGATTAGAATGGTACTTTGTTTTCATTCAAGAAACCTGGTGGCAGAGTGGTTACATGGTGGGCTGCTAACCAACCGCAAGGTGAGCAGTTTGAAACCAGCAGCCGCTCCATAGGGGAAAGAGGAGGCTTTCTACTCCCATCGAGTTGCAGTCTCAGAAACCCACAGAGGAAGTTCTGCCTTATCCTATGGAGCTGCCCTGAATCTGAATGAGCCCGAAGGCAGTGAGTCTGGCTTTTGGTTTTACTTGCATTAGTGATGTGCATCCGGTCCTATCCTTTAAGCATCGTTGAAGCCGTGCCCACCAACTCCTCCTTGACATGATTGCTAGCGCTGCTGCCTGCCACTGGGCTCTATCCACTCCTGAAAGGATGGTACCCCCCAGGGTTAGCAGCCCTTACATAGGACTTCTGCCTGATCCACCTGTAGTCCACCTCCCACCCCCCAGTTAGCAGTCCCTGGATGCTGCTGCTCTCCCTGGCGGCGCTCACCTGGCTGATGGTGCTCATGGCTCGCATGTAGCTCTCATTTCTCGAGCGGAACTTGGGCGACGTGAGCAGGCCTGCAGGGTCCAGGCTGTCCAGGCTTCGGTTGATGGAGACCTCACTGACCGCCCTCAGGTAACTGTGGCTCCGGATCTGGAGTTTGGGCGAGTGCTCACTGGAAATCCTGGAAGAGAACAACGAGAGGGGTGCATGTAGTCCCGAAGGTAGGCAGTGCTAAGATGTGCCCCCCAACTACTGAGGCAACCGATCTAGATGTGCTCCGGGATTGCCGAGCTCGCTGATCACACGGTGTGACGACGGAGCGGAGCGTTTCGGAGCAGCCAGCACCCTCTTTAAGCATTCTCCAGCATCCCAAAGAGGGAGACGAGAGCGACTACTCCATCTCAGACTTTGGCCTGGTGGAATTTCTGTGCTTTTCCTGGGTAACCATTTCCATCTTGCGACCGTGTTCCCGTATGTGGAATCATGGCAAGTGTGTATGTATCTCTATCTGTCTGCCTCTCGCTCTTTATAGACAATATTTAACTATTATTTGTTTGGAATTGAGTCTAGTGAACATAATGTAATATGCAGTCAATAAAAAGGCAATGATCTCTAAACTCTTGGAAGTAAAACAAGGCTTTATATACTTTTTAGGATTTGGTTTTATTTTCCAAATGCATTTAACATGGTAAGTGTAGGAAATGCTCGCTGTAAGAGCTCCACCTCTGGACAGGGTTTGTAAAGTAGAGAGTGGCGCCCTTTCTAGCTCTGTTCCTGCCACCACAATCCCACAATCCCACAATCCCACATTCTGGGAGGACTCGTAGCAGTTTGGTGAATGCCCTTCTGCAGCCTTCCCACTCATCTAGACAATAACAGACACCCACGTCTATGGTTGTTGAGCTGACTCCATGCATTACAGAGTTGGACTGAATCAACTGCACAAGGTTTTCTCGGCTGGGATCTGGGTGGAAGCAGGCTGCCAGGCCTTTCTTCTATGGCACACTGGGGTGGGTTCAAATGACCAACCTCCTGGTTAGTAGTTGGCTGCAAACCATTTGCATTATCCATCCTGGGGCTTTGGGGCTCAGCTCAAGGGGAGTCCCTCTGGGACATGGGGGTGCAGTGAATGGTGTGACCCTTTGCTGGGTATGCCTATAGAGTAGGAGGATGCTGGGCCCCTCTAGGGTTTCCCGTATGGGCTCCAATAAATGTCTTCCCTTTTGCTTAAAACAAACAAACAAACAAACAAACAAACAAGCAAAACCATTTATTTGCATTACCCTGGGGGCATACATTTATTCATTTATTTACACTCTAGTAATTTTTGAAGTTTGATTTTAAATGGACTTCGGGGCTATTTTTCTTTCATTATTTTATTGCTAGTGTCACATGACTTACAATTAAAAAATCATTTTATTGGGGGCTCTCACAGCCTTATCACAATACATACATACATGCATTGTGTAAAGCACATTTTTACATTTGTTGCCATCATTTTATTCTTACTTGAGCCCTTGTTATCAGCTGACTCCCCTCCCTCACAAACCCTTGAGAATTTATAGGTTTTTGATTTTTTTCATGTCTTATATTGAGCACTGTCTCCCTTCATCCACTTTTCTGTTGTTTGTCCCCGAGAGGGGGCTATATGTCGATCATTGTGATCAGTTCTCCCTTTCCCCCCACACTTTCCCCTTACCCTCCTGGTATCCCTACTCTCAATATTGGTCCTGAGGGGTTTATCTGTCCTGGATTCCTTGTGTTTCCAGCTCTTATCTGTAGCAGTGTACATGCTCTGTTCTAGCCGGATTTGTAAGGTAGAATTGGGGTCATGTTAGTGTGTGTGTGTGTGTGTGTGTGGGGGAAGCATTTAAGATCTAGAGGATAGTTGTATGTTTCATCAGTGCTATACTGCACCCTGACTGGCTCATCTCTTCCTTGTGAGCCTTCTATGAGGAGATGTCCAATTGTCTACAGATGGGCTTTGGGTCTCTATAGACCCAGAACAAAAAACCATATCGATGTGAATGAGGAGGAGGGTGGAGTGGAGACACAGTTTACAATTTTAAAAGCAGTTAATAAGGAACAAAAGTATGCTCAACATCACTGCTATTATGTATTGTTATCATGGAGGTTCAAGCCAATAAAATTAGAAAAGAAAAAGGAGGAGGAATTTAAATTTTGCAATGAGAGATATCAACATGGGCTTTGACGGATGATATAATTAATTATCTGGAAAAGAAAAGATTAATTGGAGACCAACCTGCACTAATACAAGAGATCCTCGAGCAGTCAGCTACTGGGAAGAGATACAGAAAGGAAGAGAATCTCCCTATGGTGCCAGCCCCACAAAGGAACTTTCCTTTAAACATTCCCCGCAGAGTGGTAACATAGCACAAGATGACTGGAAATTACAGAAAAGCAATGCATCAGAATTTTCTGAAGAAAATGATAAACTTTTGTGCCAGGCAATAAACAAGGCCTGACTAAAGTAAGAGTACAAAGGAAGACAATTTTCCTAGGTGCAACACTAAGTAGCTTAAAAAGCCCCATTTTACCCTGAATTAGTCTATTCGTTTAAAGCCATCACGATAATTCCTAGAGGATTTTAAAACAGTTTATGGCAAGCTTGTTTCAAAGTTTATGTAAGGTTCAAAGCGGCCTTATTCACAATATCTAAAAGGTGGTAACAACTCAAGTGACTACAACATACAGGGATAGTATTTGACCACAGAAGGGATGGCGTACTGATACGTGGTATAACACAGCTGGGTCTTGGAAACATCATGCTGAGTAAAAGGTGCCAGTCACAAAGACTGCAGATCAAATGTCCAGAGTAGGAAAATCCATGGAGACAGAAAGATGAGTGGTTGCCTAGGACTGGGGTTGGCAGAGAGGGATGGTGGGAACGAGGGGTGATAGCTCTGGGGTGATAGCTCTGGGGTGATAGCTCTGGGGTGATAAGACTGTTTTAAATTTGATGGTGGTGGCAGATGTACAACTGTGATAGATTAAAAAACAATAGGTTAGTACACTTCAAACTGGTTAATTGCATGACATGTGAATTATATCTCAATAAAGGTGTTACAAAAAGATACATGGCACCTCAAAATAAACAGATTTGCATAGGCAGGAAGTTTAGGGGGCTGACTAATGTGGACACCATCAGAAGAGGAAAACCTGTCAGGAGAACATTACAATAATCCAGGCAGCCAGTGAGGGGAGACTGAAATATCAGTGGACCAAGTATATTTCAGAGTCTACATGATAAGTAAATATAGAAGGTGTATAAAAGGATGGGCTCAAGGCTCCTTCCTGAAGGTTCAGCTCAGGCCCCTGAGAGTTTAGTGGGTCATTGATTAAAGCAGGGTTGGCGGGAGGATGTTCGATCTTGATCATGTTGAATTTTGAGGGCTGTGAGAGAAACCCACAGGACCAGTGGGTGGGGCATGCCACTCTGCGCTTAGGAGAGTCCCAGGGTTGCAGTGATGCCCTGCTGACAGGGTCACCATCCTGAAGTGCTAATACTTTTTAAACAAGGAGACTCCAATTTACACTGGCCCTACAAATTAAGTTGCTGGTCTGGACCACACAAATAGAGGTGATTAGCATGTGCTGGCCATATGAGTTAGGACCAGAGATGCTATATAAAACCAGCATATAAAAGAATGGACAAAATGAAAACCAAAGACCAAAAATAAAATAAAATTAGCATACAAGTGGCACGGGAAGCCTTGGGTAAAGAAGGACAGTTAGCAAGAATGGGCTTGGAAGAGAGCTCATGTTTAAGGAAAAACACGCAAAACAAAACCTAACAGAATTAGCCTGCCAAGGAACATAAATTTTAAAAAGCAGCAAAAATTATGGGAAGTAAACAGTTGCATGAGGCTTAAAAGCCAAGACTGGATAGAAAAGAGTAGACTCTATTCACCAGTGTGGCAGAGCATTCAGGGGCAGAGTGATGAACACTCTCCAGATATAACCAAGCACCTTAAGGGAATGAGTCGTGGGCGTGAGGCATTAGGACCATAGTCTGGAGGGACCTAACATAGTTCACAAGGCCAATGTTCTACTTTGGAGAGTAGCAACTATGATCTTAAAAGCTCTTGCACATCCATTTAGGGTGCATCTATTGCCGTCTCCATGTCTGGGGCAAGAAGAGTAAAGTACATCAAAAGACACGTGCAAACGATGAGTCCAATGGACCAACAGACTGCACAAACATCAGTCTCCACCACCCGGGCACCAAAGCAACCAGACCAGTGGTTCTCAACCTTCCAAATGCTGCAACCCTGTAAAACAGTTCCCAACCATGAAATTAGTTTTGTTGCTACTTCATAAATTTAGTTTTGCTACTGTTATGAATCGGGCGACCCCTGTAAAAGGGTCATTTGACCCTGAAAGGGATCATGGCCCACAGTTTGAGGACCGCTGATCTAGATGGTGCCTGATTAATCACTACTCTGAAAGGATCACCTTAGAAGATCTGGGTGATGTAGGAAAAAAAATGTGGAACAAAACTCAATACCAAAGAGACCGGGCTTACGAAGTCCCCAACCCTCTAGCTCTTAAGTTAAGACGTAGTCACCCTTCATTCTGGAACTGAACTCATCCTCACGGCTCCATTCCAGCCAGCCATCAGGCAGGTTTATAAGGGGAGCAATTACACTAGTGAGGTAACAGTCCTTAGAATAGTCAGCTGTTTATTAAGATCAACACACCAGCATTTGCCAAGGAGCAAGCTCAGAAGGGTCAGGAAAGAAGGCAGAAAGGAAACAGGAGGCAGAGGGAGGAAGCAGGATAAATGTTGGTGCATTGCAGGGATTGCACTGGAGGAAGCAGGATAAATGTTGGTGCATTGCAGGGATTGCACTGGAGGAAGCAGGATAAATGTTGGTGCATTGCAGGGATTGCACTGAATGAGATGAAACACAATGCGTTTAAGTTGTTGAATAAATGACAATTTGCTTTAGAAACTTTCACCCAATTCACAATAAGACGTTTTCAAAAATAAAGAGAGTGAGATAGTTAACGTTTATTGTGCCAAGGTGGCCAATGAACACATGTGGGATTAACTGAAGGACAGAGAGATAAATGCCTTGGTGAGCCTCGCCTTTCTTGTCTCTCACTCTTTGATCATCGGACCAGTGTGCGGCGGCCTGGCTTGTTCTGTGCCACAAT